AAACTCCTGTGGTTTGTTGGATCAATTAGCAATAAATGGATTCTATGGACAGAAGTTCGCCTCATGCTGAGAAACAATCTATTAAAAGTCTCTAAGGATCCAGTTTCAGCTGCAGGAGGAAGTCAGAACATGGAGGACGGCGCTCTGAGAGCTGCAGACAGAAACCAAACCTGTTTGTTTCTATAAGTGGAGATTTTGATCACTCCTCTCCCTGCTACACCGTCAGCTGCTGCTCCACAGAAAACTAAACTTTAAACTTGTTTTATGGAAACGTCAAGAACTCCTACGTCTCTGAAGGAAGAAATCAGCCTTTGAGAAGGAAGACGGAGAATTAATGAGGAGAATACAGAAGAATTTAAGGTCAGAGGAAGAAAGGAGGCAAAGAGGAAGAGGCTGGAAAACAAGAACCTGCAGAAGAAGATCAGAGATGAAGAAGATCCCAGGCTTCCAGCAGATCAGAGATGAAGAAGATCCCAGGCTTCCAGCAGATCAGAGATGAAGAAGATCCCAGGCTTCCAGCAGATCAGAGATGAAGAAGATCCCAGGCTTCCAGCAGATCAGAGATGAAGAAGATCCCAGGCTTCCAGAAGATCAGAGATGAAGAAGATCCCAGGCTTCCAGAAGATCAGACATGAAGAAGATCCCAGGCTTCCAGAAGATCAGAGATGAAGAAGATCCCAGGCTTCCAGAAGATCAGAGATGAAGAAGATCCCAGGCTTCCAGAAGATCAGACATGAAGAAGATCCCAGGCTTCCAGAAGATCAGAGATGAAGAAGATCCCAGGCTTCCAGCAGATCAGAGATGAAGAAGATCCCAGGCTTCCAGCAGATCAGAGATGAAGAAGATCCCAGGCTTCCAGAAGATCAGACATGAAGAAGATCCCAGGCTTCCAGAAGATCAGAGATGAAGAAGATCCCAGGCTTCCAGAAGATCAGAGATGAAGAAGATCCCAGGCTTCCAGAAGGTCAGAGATGAAGAAGATCCCAGGCTTCCAGCAGATCAGAGATGAAGAAGATCCCAGGCTTCCAGCAGATCAGAGATGAAGAAGATCCCAGGCTTCCAGAAGATCAGAGATGAAGAAGATCCCAGGCTTCCAGAAGATCAGAGATGAAGAAGATCCCAGGCTTCCAGAAGATCAGAGATGAAGAAGATCCCAGGCTTCCAGCAGATCAGAGATGAAGAAGATCCCAGGCTTCCAGCAGATCAGAGATGAAGAAGATCCCAGGCTTCCAGAAGATCAGAGACGAAGAAGATCCCAGGCTTCCAGAAGATCAGAGATGAAGAAGATCCCAGGCTTCCAGCAGATCAGAGATGAAGAAGATCCCAGGCTTCCAGAAGATCAGAGATGAAGAAGATCCCAGGCTTCCAGAAGATCAGAGATGAAGAAGATCCCAGGCTTCCAGCAGATCAGAGATGAAGAAGATCCCAGGCGTCCAGAAGATCAGAGATGAAGAAGATCCCAGGCTTCCAGAAGATCAGAGATGAAGAAGATCCCAGGCTTCCAGCAGATCAGAGATGAAGAAGATCCCAGGCTTCCAGAAGATCAGAGATGAAGAAGATCCCAGGCTTCCAGAAGATCAGACATGAAGAAGATCCCAGGCTTCCAGCAGATCAGAGATGAAGAAGATCCCAGGCTTCCAGCAGATCAGAGATGAAGAAGATCCCAGGCTTCCAGAAGATCAGAGATGAAGAAGATCCCAGGCTTCCAGAAGATCAGAGATGAAGAAGATCCCAGGCTTCCAGCAGATCAGAGATGAAGAAGATCCCAGGCTTCCAGCAGATCAGACATGAAGAAGATCCCAGGCTTCCAGCAGGAGAAGATCAGACAGATGGACGTCTGGACAGAACCGATGAACTGAATGGACATCCTGCCCTCCTCTGACATCACTTCCTGCTTCTATTATCAGCCAGACCAGCAGGTGGAGCTGCCTGTTAACATCCTGGGAGAAGAAGTGGAGAAGGAATCCCTTGGTGTTCATCTGGACAACAACCTGGACTGGAGACACAACCAGGAAGGGACAGAGCAGACTGGACTTCTAGAGGAAGCCGACTCTGTCAGGGAAATTCACCAACGGCTGCTTTCTTCGCCTGACTCTCCGCAAACTTCCTGAATGTTACGGCCGCCGCCATGTTGGTTTGCTGGTTTCCCTCTAGAGAGCAGTAGTACCGTAGATCGCCACTAGGATGCGAGGAACCGCGCTAGCATGGAAACGGTCGTACGTAACCAAGCTCGGCGTGGTTAATGGATCCCAGCCGGGTCTGAACTCGGCACGGATCGGTTCCGATGGGTTCCCAGGACCTGATTCCCCCCCCACCTGTATTACTCTGAGCAGACATCCCCCCCCCCCCCCATTCACACCTGTGTTACTCTGAGCAGGGTTGGGGTTCCCTGGGGAAGGTCAGGGTTCCCTGGGGAAAGTTAAGGGTTCCCTGGGGAAGGTCAGGGTTCCCTGGGGAAGGTTAGGGTTCCCTGGGGAAGGTCAGGGTTCCCTGGGGAAGGTCAGGGTTCCCTGGGGAAGGTTAGGGTTCCCTGGGGAAGGTCAGGGTTCCCTGGGGAAGGTCAGGGTTCCCTGGGGAAGGTTAGGGTTTCCTGGGGAAGGTCAGGGTTCCCTGGGGAAGGTTAGGGTTCCCTGGGTTCCCTGGGGAAGGTCGGGGTTCCCTGGGGAAGGTTAGGGTTCCCTGGGTTCCCTGGGGAAGGTCAGGGTTCCCTGGGGAAGGTCAGGGTTCCCTGGGGCAGGTTAGGGTTCCCTGGGGAAGGTTAGGGTTTCCTGGGGAAGGTCAGGGTTCCCTGGGGAAGGTTAGGGTTCCCTGGGGAAGGTCGGGGTTCCCTGGGGAAGGTTAGGGTTCCCTGGGTTCCCTGGGGAAGGTTAGGGTTCCCTGGGGAAGGTCAGGGTTCCCTGGGGAAGGTTAGGGTTCCCTGGGGAAGGTTAGGGTTTCCTGGGGAAGGTCAGGGTTCCCTGGGGAAGGTTAGGGTTCCCTGGGGAAGGTCGGGGTTCCCTGGGGAAGGTTAGGGTTCCCTGGGTTCCCTGGGGAAGGTTAGGGTTCCCTGGGGAAGGTCAGGGTTCCCTGGGGAAGGTTAGGGTTCCCTGGGTTCCCTGGGGAAGGTCGGGGTTCCCTGGGGAAGGTCGGGGTTCCCTGGGGAAGGTTAGGGTTTCCTGGGGAAGGTCAGGGTTCCCTGGGGAAGGTTAGGGTTCCCTGGGGAAGGTCGGGGTTCCCTGGGGAAGGTTAGGGTTTCCTGGGGAAGGTCGGGGTTCCCTGGGGAAGGTTAGGGTTTCCTGGGGAAGGTCAGGGTTCCCTGGGGAAGGTCAGGGTTCCCTGGGGAAGGTCGGGGTTCCCTGGGGAAGGTTAGGGTTCCCTGGGGAAGGTCGGGGTTCCCTGGGGAAGGTTAGGGTTCCCTGGGTTCCCTGGGGAAGGTCGGGGTTCCCTGGGGAAGGTTAGGGTTTCCTGGGGAAGGTTAGGGTTTCCTGGGGAAGGTCGGGGTTCCCTGGGGAAGGTCGGGGTTCCCTGGGGAAGGTCGGGGTTCCCTGGGGAAGGTCGGGGTTCCCTGGGGAAGGTTAGGGTTTCCTGGGGAAGGTCAGGGTTCCCTGGGGAAGGTCAGGGTTCCCTGGGGAAGGTTAGGGTTCCCTGGGGAAGGTGTGTAGAGGTGCTCAGCAGCGGGTCCGAGGTGTTCTGCTACTATAGTACCACCTTAATGCTGGCAAACGGACCCAGAGTGCTGCAGAGCTTCCAGAACCTCCTCCCTGGTGGGCTCCTCCTCCTGGCAGGAATCCATTAGCCTCCCGTTGGTCACTGAGCATCACTCCCTGATGGAAGGCTGTCTATGCTAAGCTGCTGGTTGAACATGAGCTCTGCAGATAATCCCATCAATCCCACTGAGAAGATGCTTACAGTCACACAGCATCATGGGACCACCACCGTGGATGGATCCAGCAGGCCGACCATCGGACCTTTAACAGGAGAACCAGTCTCTGCTCTGATGGGATAAGGCTGGAAACCAGCACAGGACTGATGGGAACGCTGGAACTCATCCATTATAATAAACCAGTTTAACCAGCAGATCATCAGTCAATAGAGGGAGGAAGCCGTCAATCCAGACCTGGGATTAGCTGCTCCTCAGACAGTTAGCTAACCGACCTGAGCTCTCAGCAGAGCCAGGATCTCTGCAGCAACAGCTTCATGGCAGGAGGTCGTTAGAGCAGGTGATGACCCGTTACCCCCCCACCGCAGCCTTAGGCCTAGAGCAGCAGAACTATAGAGATAGAATGGAGCAGAATGGTGAAGTAGGGTCTATTCTGGATTTAAGAGGAAGCCGATGAAGAGAAGCAGGATAGGAGAGATATGATCTCTGTTTTTCATTTCCATCAGGACTCTGGCTGCAGCATTTTGGATCAGCTGAAGGCTTTTAACTACAGCCTGAATCCTCTGACTAATGCAAGCAAATGGGTACATAGATTTACCTGTACCAGTTCAAAGAGGCCTACGTATGCAGGCCACACTTTTCAGATTTGATTGATCCTCTTCCTCCATCTTCACCTTTGCAGTATTTTGATTTAATCCAACTGCTGATAAAGTGACTGTTTATATAAACCTAATGATGGAGGACAGCAGGGTTTAGATCTGCTTCATCTATCAGAGACAAAGCCAGCTGTGGCCCCCCACCTACAGTCTGAACCCTGCAGGGCCCTCTGATGAGCATCCAGGATGGGAGCTTCCACAGAGCAACGACTGGAAAATGCTAGAAACCAGTTTGAGCATCAATGAAACCAGCATAAACAATGACAGCAGCAACAGACGCAGTGCTGGTGAACACAGTCCTCCTTTATTCCCTCAGTCAGCCTTCAGAGTCCAACACGATCCTCCTTCCCTGGATCCCCCCTCCCTGGACCCCCCCTCCCTGGATCCCCCCTCCCTGGATCCCCCCTCCCTGGATCCCCCCTCCCTGGACCCCCCCCTCCCTGGATCCCCCCTCCCTGGATCCCCCCTCCCTGGACCCTCCTTACCTGTGCTGCTCATGGTGGCAATCAGATGCTTCCTCCAGTCAGATGCTGCTCAGTAAACAATCCCGGATCCACTGACACGACATGTATGATGATGATGATGATGATGATGATGATGATGATGATGATGATGATGCAGCAGATCAGAAGGACCGCTGGTGGATGGGGGAGGGGGGGCGCTCTCTGCTCCACAAACAGCCGCAAAAACAACACGGTGTCCTGCGTGGGTCCCACTGCGGAGCGCGGCGCACTGTGCAGGCTGGGTGTGGGTTCTCCGTGGGGCAGCGCCGCTGGAGTCAATTACACACAACAAACACCGTCACTTCCGCTCTGACCTTTCACAATAAAGGCTGAACAGATTCAGAGGCTGTGGCTAACCATAACCTCCTGTTTGAGTTTTTAACCTTTTTATGGCTCTAGTGGCTGTTTGTTTCTAATGGACGTTAGGCTGACAGGTGTGTGTGTGTGTGTGTGTTTTTTGGGGGGGTGGGGTGTGGGGGTAGGGGGGGGGGGTGTGGGGGTAGGGGGGGTGGCCGCTCCCCTGTCCATCGCTTCCAGTCTCTGGTTCCGCCTTCAGATTCCTACTTTTATTGTGAAGGGCCATGTCCCAGCGTTTCCGGTGTGCTGCTAAAACATCCTGAGGGCTGCTGCTGCCGGGGCACATGGGAGATGTAGTCCTTCACTAACATTATTTGCTTCCTTATCATTAATCTTTGATCTGAACAGTTTTAATGTTATTAAACTTTCAGGGCCTGTTTGGAGGCGGGAGCAGAGCCAGACTTCTATTTTATCATTTTCATTTCCAGCATTAAATATATATAAACTAATATTCAGAACAAAGGATAAGATTTGTGTTGTTTTTTTTTACCATTTATAAAGAATAGAGTAAAATAAAATCTAAAAGTATCTATGAGGCGGGTCTGAATATCCTGATATATATATCTATATCTATATATATATATATATATATATAGATATATATATATATATATCTATATATATATATATATATATATAGATATATATATATATATATATAGATATATATATATCTATATATGGTATGAAGATCATGGGAACAACAGAAAGTCCTTTAAAACTGAGGCTCATTTCCTCTGGAAGACGAAAACATTTTCACTCAATCTTTGTTAATATTTGAGTCACATGAAAAACTTCAGGCTGAAGTTTTAAAGTTTTAAAGCTTTAAAGCTGTAAATCTCCATGTTCAATTATTATTCAACATTCTATTCTGTTTATCTCTATAGCTCCAATTCAGATAATCTCGGGTTACTGTACTTTATAGATCCAGATCAACCAGATCATCCAGTCAGATTGATTCAAAGTTTTCTAAGGAAAACCAGCTGATTGCATCGACTCATTGACTCTTCAGCAATCCCTCACACTAAGCATGCTTGTAGTGACAGTGGAGAGGAAAAACTCCCTTTGAACAGGAAGAAACCTCCAGCAGAACCAGGCTCAGTGTGAGCGGCCATCTGCTGAGGCCCACTGGGGTTCAAGGAGACAGAAGCAGACATAGAAAAAGAAGCATAGATACAAAAGGCAACTGTCAACCAGCTCCACAGGCGGCCCCGTCCAGGAAACACACAGCCAGGCAGACGAGCTCCGAGCCAGCTCCCATGTCAGAGGATGAAGAGAGCACATCCAGTTAGTCACAGTCAGAGAAACAGGACTACACTGGAAAACAGGCCGAGCGCCAACATCTAGAAACAAAGGTGTTGATGGCAGCAGCACAGCTGATGTTTCTCTCCAGGATGGAGTCACAGCCAAACAGGAACAGACCAGATGAAGCTACTATGAGAAAAAGCAGAGAGAGCAGAACGTTAGAGATTGAACTAACAGATTCTGCAGAGTGGGAGAATAGAGATAGAATGAAGCAGAATGATGAAAAAGGGGTCCCTATGTCCTCCAGCAGTCTAAGCCTATAGCAGCAGAACTATAGAGATAGCTCAGGATAACCTGAGTATTTTGGATCAGGTAGAGAAAAGGAGAAACATCTGTCTGGACTAAATTCTCTCCCCTGAATTTATTTCAGATGAAGGTGGTTTTATTTTTGTTAATGTTTTGACTAATTAATGAAAATTTGGTTGAACAATGCTTTGTTAATATTATTTTATTATTATTTTCTGTGCTGTGGGGAGTGTCTGCTCAGAGCAGAACTGGTTCAAACTGGATCAGCTGGTCAGGAAGACCAGTTCAGTGAAGGGGGGAAAACATTTTCTGTGTTTAAATTTAAACCTTAGCTTTCATTTTTGTAACTTTAAAATGTGGAAATCCAGTCTTTTTCTTCCTCGTGTTTTCAGCGACCCTCAGCCCACTGCCCCCACTGCCCCCACTGCCATAGGAACAGTGAAATCCTTGTGAAAACCTGTGTTGGTGCAGTCTTTTTGGATTTAGACCATCAAACATTTCTGTCCAAACCGACTCACTTCAACTTGGCAGATGATGCCACAGCTTGGTTTAAATCTTACTTAACCAACAGAAAACAATCTGAGAGTGTTGGTGGCACTATGTCGTCTTACCTTGAATGTCCAGCAGGGGTCCCACTAGGTTCTGTTTTGGGACCAGTATTGTTCTCTCTATATATAAATGTCCTCCCAGATGTTTGCCAAAATGTCCAATTCCAAATGTTTGCTGATGATGCTAATATTTTTACACCTGCTAAAAGCAGACAGGAAGCATCATCCGTCCTGGATAATATCCAGCCCCGGCTCCTCCCATCATGTCTGTTACTGAACAAATATGATGATCACAAAAACCCATAAAACTGGAGCGGTCCAATGTGTTCCTGGGGGGAGTGGAACTTGAATTTGTAGATGAGTTCAAGAACCTCGGGACACACTGGAAACAACACTTTCATTTAGAAAACACATCAAAATCACTGCAAACACAATTAAATTAAATATACGTAACTTAAAGCGAATCAGATCATCGATGACGATCAGTTCTGCTAAAATGTTCCTAAACTCAGTGATATTTTCACACATTGAGTTAATGCATCACAGCCTGCTCACTCACTGGAGACACAACTTACAAACCATTAGAAATATTATTCAAAACATCTTTAAAAACCTTTGATCAGAAGCTCCTGTCATTCCATCAGTGTAATATTTTGGAAAAATATATTATGCTCAATTCTGAAAATTTTATTCATTTTAAAAATAGTTGTTTAATTTACAAAGTTCTGAATGGATTACCCCCCCCCCCCCCCATCCACCTTCTACCTACATTAGATATGTGTTTTGACTGTATTATGTATGATGTAAATTAGCAACTATGCTATAATTTGGCTCATTTGTACAGAAGTATAAGATTGTTCATTAATGTTCTCTGTCCTGATTAAATAAATGAGAAATAAAATAAAGAAATAGAGTTTATAACATGAGCAAAGTTATTCTAATAGTTAAACCATTAAATCTAATGGCTTCTATAACAGATTTTCTATTCTGTTAAAATAATTCAATCTTTCTGCTAGAAGAACAAAGATGAACAACCAGCTCCTTAATTCACATATTGCTCAACATTTACCTCCTCAATATGGCGGCCACGTTAACGTGTCCCTGCTGTGATGTCAGCGAGAGAGTGACGTAATACGCGCGCGACTGTAAGCGCAGCATGGTTGTTGGTTTAAGCAGAAGTTCCTGTTTGATGTGAGGAACCGGGTCAGAATCAGAACCATGGAAAGAACCGAGGAGAAGAGCGACGGTACCGGACTAGAGGTTCTGTTCCCAGAGGAGGGGAAAACGGCGCCATGTTGTGCCCACGGTGAGCTGACCGAACCGAACCGAACCGGGTCTCTGGTGACTGTTTGTTTTATAAACGGTTCCGAAAGATCCAGAAGTTCAGTTTGAGGAGCAGAACTTAGAAGAACCGGACCGGGACTCATCGAGTCTTGTTTCTAAAGAACCAAGTTCTGGATCAGAACGTTCATTTAAACCTGGAAGAACCACGTGACCCAGAACAGGGAGACAGACCATTGGCCAGTAGAGGGCTACACGAAAAATATAAAGTCATTGGTGGGGGGCCCGGGGAACTGCCATGGTGGGGGGCCCGGGGAGCTGCCATGGTGGGGGGCTGCAATTATGATGGGCCTGGGCCGCTGCCATTGTGGGGTGCCCAGGGCCCTGTCATGGTGGGGGGCCCGGAGAGCTGCCATGGTAGGGGGCCCAGCGAGCAGCCATGGTGAGGGGCCCAGGGCCCTGCCATGGTGGGGGGCCCGGAGAGCTGCCATGGTGGGGGGCCCGGAGAGCTGCCATGGTGGGGGGCCCGGAGAGCTGCCATGGTGGGGTGCCCAGGACTCTGCCATGGTGAGGGGCCCGAGGAGCTGCCATGGTGGGGGGCCCAGCGAGCAGCCATGGTGGGGGCCCTGGGCACTGCCATGGTGAGGGGCCCGAGGAGCTGCCATGGTGGGGGGCCCAGCGAGCAGCCATGGTGGGGGGCCCAGGGAGCTGCCATGGTGAGGGGCCCAGGGAGCTGCCATGGTGAGGGGCCCGGCGAGCTGCCACTGTGGAGAGCTGCCATTGTGAGGGGCCCGGGCCGCTGCCATGGTGGGGTGCCTGGGGCCCTGCCATGGTAGGGGGCCCGGGGAGCGTCCATGGTGGGGGGCCTGGGGGCGCTGCCATAGTGGGGGGCCCGGAAGCGCTGCCATGGTAGGGGGCCCGGGGAGCTGCCATGGTGGGGGGCCTGGGGGCGCTGCCATGGTGGGGGGCCTGGGGGCGCTGCCATGGTGGGGGGCCCAGGGAGCTGCCATGGTGGGGGGCCTGGGGGCGCTGCCATGGTGGGGGGCCCAGGGAGCAGCCATGGTGGGGGGCCCAGGGAGCTGCCATGGTGGGGGGCCTGGGGGCGCTGCCATGGTGGGGGGCCCAGGGAGCTGCCATGGTGGGGTGCCTGGGGCCCTGCCATGGTAGGGGGCCCGGGGAGCTGCCATGGTGGGGGGCCTGGGGGCGCTGCCATGGTGGGGGGCCCGCGGGCGCTGCCATGTTGGGGGGCCCGGGGCGCTGCCATGGTGGGGGGCCCGGGGAGCTGCCATGGTGAGGGGCCCAGAGAGCTGCCATGGTGGGGGGCCCGGGGAGCTGCCATGGTGAGGGGCCCGGAGAGCAGTGCAGGGTTAAGTGTCTTGCTGACAGACACTTGGCAGTCTGGATCGATCTGCGTACTTTTAACCATTGACTTTATTTCATACGTAGACGCCTCATTGGACGCTGCCACAAGTGAGAGCGACGTGCCTATAGAGCTGCCATCTTGGGTCAGAACACAGTTCAGCCAGCTGCTGAATGAACATCTCATTTTAATCATGGAATAATATTATAATAATCTCTGAAATGTTACGAACACTTTAAAGACCAACAATAATTCTAAAGTAATCTTTCAGTTAGATTTCACAGATTTATTCAGATTAAAACATTTTTATGTGATTTACAAAACACAGTAAGGTTGTTATTTAAAATTTTTCTTCTTATTTTTATGTTAAATTTTTTTTTCGTCATCAAGATGTTTTTGTCAAATCGTAGTTAACGGTAAATTAATGTTGTGTTTAACTAAACTCTTTTTCAAACAGTTTTTTATCATTATTAATCTAGGATGGATCCAATAGTTCAGAATTTATTAAATTCATCAATAATCTTATGTCACTGATTATTGATTGCTGACAGTTTAGTTGCTACGGTGGCCCGTTGGTTCAGTTCTAGGAGAAAAACTCATCAGAACATCAGAGTGGGTCTGATCCGGTGTTTGGTTCTGGTTCTGCGGAGAAGGTGTGATCCAGTAGGTCTGGGTGGTGGAACCACTGTTGCCACAGGCCAGCAGCTGTAGAACCGTCCTCCAGTCGGTTCTTAGTGACCCAGTTCTGATGGTTCTGTTGGTGAAGGAATCCGCCCTCTGGTTTCCACAGGTCCCACTTTGCTGTTTGAGAAGGTGGGCAGCGGCGGCGCCCGGGGCCGGCGGTTCTACGCCTGCTCGGCCTGCCGGGACCGGAAAGACTGCAGCTTCTTCCAGTGGGAGGATGAGAAGGTAAGAACCGGTACCAGAGAGCAGAACCTTTCAGAACTTGGTGACTGATGGAGTCCTGCGTCCTTTAAAGGTGTCAGAGGCCAGCGTTCTGGCCAGAGAAGCAGAGATCCAGTCTAAGAGGCCTCGCTTCACACAGGAGGAGTACCGCATCAGGTAGGAGGACCGGGGCAGGTGGGAGGACCGGGGCAGGTGGGAGGACCGGGGCAGGTGGGAGGACCGGGGCAGGTGGGAGGACCGGGGCAGGTGGGAGGACCGGGGCAGGTAGGAGGACCGGGGCAGGTGGGAGGACCGGGGCAGGTGGGAGGACCGGGGCAGGTGGGAGGACCGCGGCAGGTGGGAGGACCGGGGCAGGTGGGAGGACCGGGGCAGGTGGGAGGACCGGGGCAGGTAGGAGGACCGGGGCAGGTGGGAGGACCGGGGCAGGTGGGCAGGTGGGAGTAGCGCGGGAGGTGGAGTTCTGCTGGTTCGGGTCAGAACTTTCTTTCTAGGAATCTGGCCACATTTATTAGTCCTCCAAAACCCTGACCACCCAGGGTGCAGACCAGGAAGCAGAGTTGTAGTTTAACACACATCTCTGCAGCTTCTCTACTGTTACCCACTCTTTACTCCATCCAGACAGTGTCTTGCCCACGACCAAAATCTAATAAATTAGCAAAGATTCCCAAAGGAGTAAATTATGATAATCTAATTAAAATCAAAATAACTCCAATTGGGGAAAAAGTTAAAACAATTAAATGCGGTCTGTTTAACATAAGATCTCTTTCCTCTAAAAGTCTACTAGTTAATGACTTGATTTGTGATAATCACATTGACTTGTTTTGCCTTACAGAAACCTGGCTGCAGCAAGAGGATTATGTGAGCATAAATGAGGCAACTCCTTCAAGCTATTTAAATTTTCACATCCCCAGAAGTTCTGGGCGAGGAGGAGGAGTAGCAACAATCTTTCAGTCTGACTTACTGATTACTCCCAAAACAATTAATACCTACAACTCTTTTGAACATTTAACCCTTAATTTCCCTGATCCAAATTTCAAGGCAAGAAAACCTCTTCTTTTTGTAACTTTGTATCGTCCACCAGGTCCTTACTCTGAATTTTTAGATGAGTTTTCAGAGTTCCTTTCTGATTTGGTATTAAATACTGACAGGGTCATCATAGTGTGAGATTTTAACATCCATGCTGACATTGAAGGCGATAGCTTAAGAGCAGCCTTTAATGCTATCTTAGACACTATTGGCTTTGTTCAAAATGTGAATAGTCCCACGCATTCTCATCTTCATACTTTGGATCTTGTGCTGACATACGGCATAGAATGTGAAGAAATAACAGTATTTCCTCACAACCCTGTCCTCTCTGACCACTTTCCAATAACCTTCAGGATTACTTTAACAGAGTTCTCCTCCCCCAAAAGAAGGTTACATTTTAGTAGATCTTTATCAGATAGTGCAGTTAAAAATTTTAAAGAATCTGCTTCACTTTCTCTCTCCTCTGTGTCACTGAGCAGTGCTGCAGAGTGCAAAAGCTTAGCTTATTCCCCTTCACAGGTTGATGATTTTGTTGATGGGGTTGCTAGTTCTCTGCGTACTGCCTTAGACAACGCAGCTCCTTTGAAAATGAAAACCGTTGAAAATAGAAAGCTTGCTCCTTGGTTTAATGCAGAGCTGCGTACTTTGAAGCAAAATGCTAGGAAACTGGAGAGAAAATATCGCTCCACAGGCCTGCGGGAGTCCTTCCTAGTCTGGAAAAATGGTTTACTGCTGTATAAGAGGACCCTTTGTAAAGCAAGAGCAGCATACTTCTCCTCATTAATAGAGCCGAATAAGAATAATCCTAAATTTCTTTTTAATACAGTTGCCAAACTCACCCAGAGCCATAGCTCTGTTGAACCGTCCATTCCACCTGCTCTTAGCAGCAATGATTTTATGGGATTCTTTATAAATAAGATTGATCTTATTAAAAATAAGATCATAAGCACTCCTCTATCCGCGATTGTACCTGAGGTAGTCATGGAATCTGAACCGGGTTTAGACTGCTTTGATCCAGTTGAACTTTCTGAATTAGCAAAATTATTGTCTTCATCTAAGCCTTCAACTTGGATGTTAGATCCAGTTCCAACCAGGTTATTTAAGGAGGTATTCCCTTTGATCTCCTCCTCCATTTTAGATGTGATTAATCTATCTCTGTTACAGGGATATGTACCTAAAGCTTTTAAGGTTGCTGTAATTAAACCTCTGCTTAAGAAACCGTCTCTTGACCCAGATGACTTGGTCAATTATAGACCTATATCCAATCTTCCTTTCTTATCCAAAATTCTTGAGAAAGTAGTTGCCAAACAAGTTTGCGATCACTTCCACCATAATGAACTTTTTGAAGAGTTTCAGTCTGGCTTTAGAGCTCATCATAGCACTGAAACAGCTCTGGTGAAAGTCACTAATGATATTCTCATGGCCTCAGATAATGGACTTGTATCTGTGCTCGTCCTGTTGGATCTTAGTGCTGCATTTGATACAGTTGACCATAATATTCTTTTAGAAAGACTTGAATATTTTGTTGGAATTAAAGGAACAGCACTAGACTGGTTTAAATCTTATCTATGATCGAATTCAGTTTGTTCATGTTAATGATAGATCTTCCTCACGCTCAAAGGTTACCTGTGGAGTACCACAGGGATCAGTGCTAGGACCAATTCTCTTTACTTTATACATGCTCCCAATTGGTAGAGTTATTAGACAGCATGGGATTAATTTCCACTGTTATGCTGATGATACCCAGCTATATCTGTCTATAAATCCAGATGAAGCTAACCCATTACATAGATTACAGGCATGTCTTGAAGACATAAAAACCTGGATGACTCTTAATTTTCTGCTTCTGAATGCAGACAAAACAGAAGTTATAGTCTTTGGACCAGAGTCTCTGAAAAAGAAACTGATTAGTCAGTCACTTCATTTGGATGGGATTAAACTGATTTCAGATAATAAAGTAAAAAATCTTGGTGTTATTTTTGATCAGGACCTGTCATTTAAATCCCATATCAAAGAGGTTTCTAGAATTTCCTTCTTTCATCTGAGGAACATTGCAAAAATTAGAAATATCCTGTCCAGGGGTGATGCTGAGAAACTAGTCCATGCATTTGTTACTTCAAGGCTGGACTATTGTAATTCTTTACTATCAGGAAGTCCACAAACTGTAGTTAAAAGCCTTCAGCTGATCCAAAATGCTGCAGCCAGAGTTCTAATGAAAATTAAAAAGAGAGATCATATCTCTCCTATCCTGGCTTCTCTTCATTGGCTTCCTGTTAAATCCAGAATAGAATTTAAAATCCTCCTTCTCACATATAAAGCCTTAAATGGCCAAGCTCCATCTGATATCAGAGATCTGATTGTTCCTTATGTTCCTAACAGAGCACTTCGCTCTCAATCTGCAGGTTTACTAGTGGTTCCTAGAGTTTCTAAAAGTAGAATGGGAGGCAGATCTTTTAGTTCTCAGGCTCCTCTCCTGTGGAACCAACTACCAGTTTTAGTCCGTGAGGCAGACACCCTGTCTACTTTTAAGGCTAGGCTTAAAACTTTCATTTTTGATAAAGCTTATAGTTAGGGTGGCTCAGGTTATCCTGAGCTATCTCTATAGTTATGCTGCTATAGGCTTAGACTTTTGGAGGACATAGGGACCCCCATTTCATCATTCTGCTTCATTCTCTCTCTGTTCTCCTATTCTGCAGAATCTGTTAGTTCAATCTCTAACCTTCTGCTCTCTCTGCTTTTTCTCAGAGTAGCTTTGCCTCGTCTGTTCCTGTTTGGCTGTGACGTCATCCTGGAAAAAAAACATCAGCTGTGCTGCTTCTATCAACACCCTTGTTAATAGTTGTTGGAGATCGGCCTGTTTTCCAGTGTGGTCCTGTTTCTCTGACCGTGACTGAGTGGATGTGCTCTCTTCGTCCTCTGGCATGGGAGCTGGCTCGGAGCTCGTCTGCCTGGCTGTGTTTCCTGGACGGGGCCGCCTTTTACAGCTGCTTTTTGTATCTCTGCTTCTGTCTCCTTGAACCCCAGTCGGCCTCAGCAGATGGCCGCTCACACTGAGCCTGGTTCTGCTGGAGGTTTCTTCCTGTTAAAAGGGAGTTTTTCCTCTCCACTGTCGCTACAAGCATGCTTAGTGTGGGGGATTGTATTTGAGTCAATGAGTCGATGCAATCAACTGGTTTTCCTTAGATAGAAAACTTTGTATCAATTTGACTGTATGATCTGGTTGAACTGTAAAGTGCCTTGAGATGACATGTGTTGTGAATTTGGCGCTATATAAATAAACTGAATTGAATTGAATTGAACTGTAGCCGTTTCCTGACCAAAGCGTGTCTCCTGCTGCGTTCCTCAGGTTCCTGACGTTCGCCGCGCTCCCGCTGGATGAGAGGAAGTTCTGTGAGGAGTGTCAGGTTCTGGTTCTGCCTGCAGAGCACAGCGCCCACTCTGCCCACAGAACCAGGACGGTGTCGGCGGCCCAGCTGAGGAGGCCTAGCCTCCTGCTGTCTCCTCTGGGCAACAAGAAGAGCAACGCCCAGTACCTGTTCAGCGAGCGCAGCGCCTGCTTCCTGCTGGACGCCTTAGCATCTCTGGGATACAGGAAGGTTCTGTGCGTAGGAACGCCTCGGTAAGACAGCTCAGAAGTTCTGGTCTGGGTTAGTTTAGGGAACTGGAACCAGTTCTGCTTTCATCAGGGGTTCCTCAGGGTCCAGTCCTCGGCCCTATTTGGTTCTGGAAAAGTTTTTCTAAATGAACCGTGGGACGTTTCTCCTGACATGAAAAGTTTATTAGAGAAGAGTAATGGAGGGAAATCCGAAATTATTTATCAGATTATCTTTATTCATCAAAGATATTCTGGTTGAGATAAAAATCCAGAATGTTCCAAACGTTTATAGCGGCGCTGTTTGATGACATCATGATGACTGTGGTCCAAACACAGAGGCCGTTTCTCAATTCACTAGAACGTGAAGAACCCAGGAAAGTCTGGACTCTGGGAGAACGGGAGCAGTTAGCATAAATCTGGGTCCATTGGAACAGAAGCGTACTGATGACATCACCACACCGTGTCACGCTCAGCTTGTCTAGAGCTGATTATCACCTCCTGTTATTAATATTCTCTAGATAATAATAAAATCTAACTTATTCATTTATTGGAGGAATAATAATGAACACAGATAAACACAAATCAAATGAACATTTTGCCAAATGAAACCAAAAAATTAACATCAGAGCCAGCGGTCATTCACACTCGGCTATGCAGAGAGGGCTGCTGCAGACGGGCTAACGTTATTCCTGGCTGCTGCAGACGGGCTAACGTTATTCCTGGCAGCTACAGACGGGCTAACTTTAGCTCTGGGAGCTACAGACGGGCTAACGTTATTTCTGGCTGCTGCAGACGGGCTAACGTTATTCCTGGCAGCTACAGACGGGCTAACGTTTTTCCTGGCAGCTACAGACGGGCTAACGTTATTCCTGGCTGCTGCAGACGGGCTAACGTTATTCCTGGCAGCTACAGACGGGCTAACTTTAGCTCTGGCAGCTGCAGATGGGCTAACTTTAGCTCTGGCTGCTGCAGATGGGCTAACTTTAGCTCTGGCAGCTGCAGATGGGCTAACGTTATTCCTGGCTGCTGCAGACAAGCTAACGTTATTCCTGGCTGCTGCAGACGGGCTAACGTTATTCCTGGCTGCTGCAGACAAGCTAACGTTATTCCTGGCTGCTGCAGACGGGCTAACGTTATTCCTGGCAGCTACAGACGGGCTAACTTTAGCTCTGGCAGCTGCAGATGGGCTAACGTTATTCCTGGCTGCTGCAGACAAGCTAACGTTATTCCTGGCTGCTGCAGTCGGGCTAATGTTAGCTCTGGACGCTGCAGACGGGCTAATGTTATTCCTGGCAGCTGCAGATGGGCTAACGTTAGCTCTGGGAGCTGCAGACCGGCTAACGTTATTTCTGGCAGCTGCAGACGGGCTAACGTTATTCCTGGCTGCTGCAGACGGGCTAACTTTAGCTCTGTCAGCTACAGACGGGCTAACGTTATTCCTGGCTGCTACAGACGGGCTAACGTTATTCCTGGCTGCTGAAGATGGGCTAACGTTATTCCTGGCTGCTACAGACGGGCTAACGTTATTCCTGGCTGCTGCAGTCGGGCTAACGTTAGCTCTGGACGCTGCAGACGGGCTAATGTTATTCCTGGCAGCTGCAGATGGGCTAACGTTATTTCTGGCAGCTGCAGACAGGCTAACGTTATTCTTGACTGCTGCAGACGGGCTAACCTTAGCCCTGGACGCTGCAGACGGGCTAATGTTATTCCTGGCTGCTACAGACGGGCTAACCTTAGCCCTGGACGCTGCAGACGGGCTAATGTTATTCCTGGCTGCTGCAGACGGGCTAACCTTAGCCCTGGACGCTGCAGACGGGCTAATGTTATTCCTGGCTGCTACAGACGGGCTAACGTTATTCCTGGCTGCTACAGACGGGCTAATGTTATTCCTGGCAGCTACAGACGGGCTAACGTTATTCCTGACTGCTGCAGTCGGGCTAACGTTAGCTCTGGACGCTGCAGACGGGCTAATGTTATTCCTGGCAGGTGCAGATGGGCTAACGTTATTTCTGGCAGCTGCAGACAGGCTAACGTTATTCTTGGCTGCTGCAGACGGGCTAACCTTAGCCCTGGACGCTGCAGACGGGCTAATGTTATTCCTGGCTGCTGCAGATGGGCTAACTTTAGCTCTGGCAGCTGCAGATGGGCTAACATTATTTCTGGCAGCTGCAGACAGGCTAACGTTATTTCTGGCAGCTGCAGACAGGCTAACGTTATTTCTGGCAGCTGCAGACAAGCTAACGTTATTTCTGGCAGCTGCAGACAGGCTAACGTTATTTCTGGCAGCTGCAGACAAGCTAACGTTATTTCTGGCAGCTGCAGACAGGCTAACGTTATTTCTGACAGCTGCAGACAGGCTAACGTTATTCCTGGCTGCTGCAGAGGGGCTAACCTTAGCCCTGGACGCTGCAGTCGGGCTAATGTTATTTCTGGCAGCTGCAGATGGGCTAACGTTATTCCTGGCAGCTACAGACGGGCTAACGTTAGCTCTGGACACTGCAGACGGGCTAATGTTATTCCTGGTAGCTGCAGACGGGCTAACGTTATTTCTGGCAGCTGCAGACAGGCTAACGTTATTTCTGGCAGCTGCAGACAGGCTAACGTTATTTCTGGCAGCTGCAGAGGGGCTAACCTTAGCCCTGGACGCTGCAGACAGGCTAACGTTATTCCTGGCTGCTGCAGACGGGCTAACCTTAGCCCTGGACGCTGCAGTCTGGCTAATGTTATTTCTGGCAGCTGCAGATGGGCTAACTTTAGCTCTGGCAGCCGCAGACGGGCTAACCTTAGCCCTGGACGCTGCAGACGGGCTAATGTTATTCCTGGCAGCTGCAGATGGGCTAACTTTAGCTCCGGCAGCTGCAGATGGGCTAACGTTATTTCTGGCAGCTGCAGACAGGCTAACATTATTTCTGGCAGCTGCAGACAGGCTAATGTTATTTCTGGCAGCTGCAGACAGGCTAATGTTATTTCTGGCAGCTGCAGACAGGCTAATGTTATTTCTGGCTGCTGCAGTCGGGCTAACGTTATTCCTGGCTGCTGCAGACGGGCTAACGTTATTCCTGGCTGCTGCAGTCGGGCTAACGTTAGCTCTGGACGCTGCAGACGGGCTAATGTTATTCCTGGCAGCTGCAGACGGGCTAACGTTATTTCTGGCAGCTGCAGACAGGCTAACATTATTTCTGGCAGCTGCAGACAGGCTAACATTATTCCTGGCTGCTGCAGACGGGCTAACCTTAGCTCTGGACGCTGCAGTCGGGCTAATGTTATTTCTGGCAGCTACAGACAGGCTAACGTTATTTCTGGCAGCTGCAGACAGGCTAACATTATTTCTGGCAGCTGCAGACAGGCTAACATTATTCCTGGCTGCTGCAGACGGGCTAACCTTAGCTCTGGACGCTGCAGACGGGCTAATGTTATTCCTGGCAGCTGCAGACAGGCTAACGTTATTTCTGGCAGCTGCAGACAGGCTAACATTATTTCTGGCAGCTGCAGACAGGCTAACATTATTCCTGGCTGCTGCAGACGGGCTAACCTTAGCCCTGGACGCTGCAGTCGGGCTAATGTTATTTCTGGCAGCTACAGACGGGCTAACGTTATTCCTGGCTGCTGCAGTCGGGCTAACGTTAGCTCTGGACGCTGCAGACGGGCTAATGTTATTCCTGGCAGCTGCAGACGGGCTAACGTTATTTCTGGCAGCTGCAGACGGGCTAACGTTATTTCTGGCAGCTGCAGACGGGCTAACGTTATTTCTGGCAGCTGCAGACGGGCTAACGTTATTTCTGGCAGCTGCAGACGGGCTAACGTTATTTCTGGCAGCTGCAGACGGGCTAACGTTATTTCTGGCAGCTGCAGACGGGCTAACGTTATTTCTGGCAGCTGCAGACGGGCTAACGTTATTTCTGGCAGCTGCAGACGGGCTAACGTTATTTCTGTCAGCTGCAGACGGGCTAACGTTATTTCTGTCAGCTGCAGACGGGCTAACGTTATTTCTGTCAGCTGCAGACGGGCTAACGTTATTCCTGGCAGCTGCAGACGGGCTAACGTTATTCCTGGCAGCTGCAGACGGCCTAACGTTATTCCTGGCAGCTGCAGACGGCCTAACGTTAGCTCTGGCAGCTGCAGACGGCCTAACGTTAGCTCTGGCAGCTGCAGACGGGCTAACGTTAGCCCTGGCAGCTTCAGACAGGCTAACTTTAGCTCTGGCCGCTGCAGACGGGCTAACGTTAGCCCTGGATGCTTTTGCCCTCGGAGTTCTGGTTGCTGCCATCCTCTCAACTTTGGAATTTTTATTTTAAATTACGCATTAAATCGGTAAATGGAACATATAGATACACTTTAAAGTATATGTTCTTGCCTCAAATGATCTTAAAATGTACTTTTATTTAACAACAGCAACAGCAAAGAGAACTTTTAACCAGCTAGAGCTTATTTTTAAAGGTAAAGATTGTTTGATGCAGAATTTTGGTTAAAAAAAAAATATAGCTAGCCATGCAGCCTGCTATACAGCTAGCCATACAGCTAGCCATGCAGCTTGCTATACAGCTAGCCATGCAGCTTGCCATACACTTAGCTATACAGCTTGCCATGCTGCTAGCCATGCAGCTAGCCATGCAGCTAGCTATACAGCTTCCCATGCTGCTAGCCATGCAGCTAGCCATGCAGCTTGCCATGCAGTTAGATATACAGCTTGCCATGCAGCTAGCTATACAGCTTGCCATGCTGCTAGCCATGCAGCTAGCCATGCAGCTTGCCATGCAGTTAGCTATACAGCTTGCCATGCTGCTAGCCATGCAGCTTGCCATGCAGCTAGCTATACAGCTTGCCATGCTGCTAGCCATGCTGCTAGCCATGCAGCTAGCCATGCAGCTTGCCATGCAGTTAGCTATACAGCTTGCCATGCTGCTAGCCATGCAGCTTGCCATACAGCTAGCTATACAGCTTGCCATGCAGCTTGCCATGCAGTTAGCTATACAGCTTGCCATGCTGCTAGCCATGCAGCTTGCCATACAGCTAGCTATACAGCTTGCCATGCAGCTAGCTATACAGCTTGCCATGCTGCTAGCCATGCAGCTTGCCATGCAGCTAGCCATGCAGCTTGCCATACAGCTAGCTATGCAGCTTGCCATGCAGCTAACTATACAGCTAGCCATGCAGCTAGCTATACAGCTTGCCATGCAGCTAACTATACAGCTAGCCATGCAGCTTGCCATGCAGCTAGCTATACAGCTTGCCATGCAGCTAACTATACAGCTAGCCATGCAGCTAGCCATGCAGCTTGCCATGCAGCTTGCCATGCAGTTTGCCATGCAGCTAGCCATGCAGCTAGCCATGAAGCTAGCTATGTAGCTAGCCATGCAGCTAGCCATGAAGCTAGCTATACAGCTTGCCATGCAGCTTGCCATGCAGTTTGCCATGCAGCTAGCTATACAGCTAGCCATGCAGCTTGCCATGCAGCTAGCCATGAAGCTAGCTATACAGCTTGCCATGCAGCTTGCCATGCAGCTTGCCATGCAGTTTGCCATGCAGCTAGCCATGCAGCTAGCCATGAAGCTAGCTATGTAGCTAGCCATGCAGCTAGCCATGAAGCTAGCTATACAGCTTGCCATGCAGCTTGCCATGAAGCTAGCTATACAGCTTGCCATGCAGCTTGCCATGAAGCTAGCTATACAGCTAGCCATGCAGTTTGCCATGCAGCTAGCCATGCAGCTTGCCATGAAGCTAGCTATACAGCTTGCCATGCAGCTTGCCATGCAGTTTGCCATGCAGCTAGCCATGAAGCTAGCTATGTAGCTAGCCATGCAGCTAGCCATGAAGCTAGCTATACAGCTTGCCATGAAGCTAGCTATACAGCTTGCCATGCAGCTTGCCATGAAGCTAGCTATACAGCTTGCCATGCAGCTTGCCATGAAGCTAGCTATACAGCTAGCCATGCAGCTTGCCATGCAGCTTGCCATGCAGCTTGCCATGCAGCGATCTCTGAACAGATGATGATTCATTCATTCTGATGATGATGTTTGTTTCAGTCTGCAGGAGCTGATCAAGCAGAGGAACCTGCAGCAGAACCAGGAGCCGATGCAGAGCCTGCTGCTGGACATCGATTACAGGTTGATCTATGAACGGATGCATGAGGTCATCAGCCCCGCCCTCAATGTCCTCAGGATTACTGAATAGTCGATAAAACATTGGGAAAGTCGTCTATTCCTCCACAGTAGGAGCATCGATTGTAGGTCTGAACAGGTCCACAGGCTGAAGCTGCGGCCTAAAGGTCCACTTTGGCAGCTGATGGACCATCAGATGGTCCATCAGGTCTCTCTGATCCAATGGCGTAACACCACAATGATAAGCAGCATTATCTGGGCCCCATATGAAGTAAAACAGGTGATAAAGGTTCAGGAAAAGGCTCCAATCAGCCAAGAAGATACAGGTCTGCAATTCTCAGCAGTAGATGATCACACCTGCAGAATAGTGACTGCTCACCTTGAACGGAGCCATTGGTGACGGCGCACCCCCCAGTATATTCTGCTGTAAAATGAGTCGGGCTCATGGGGCCCCTCCAGCCCCCCCCCCTCCCCCACGCTCTCTCCATTCCTCTCCTGGTCGCCATCTTTACTCCTCCTCTCCCTCTTCGGTTCTTTGAAAGAACGTCTTTATTTTGGGAAGATATTTCCGATCTTCCAGCGGTTCTTCTTTCCTTTTTCTTTTCTGGAATCCGCTTTAGTCGTCGTTTTGGTCTCCATCGTCGCTAACTCATTATACGTAATGGTTATGGTTTTAATCTACGCTCTGGATTACCCATAATTCCAAGTCGTATTGCAAATAATAAAATATTCAAATACATCGTTCCTTTAAGATCTTTATTGCCGTTTGAAACATATTATATATTTTTTACCAACCGTCTAATGAACTATACCAGTTATTAGCATAGTAATTAAAAGTGTCTGCTTTGCTGTTGGTGTCGTGTTTAAACGGCTCACCATCATGGTGAAATCTGCCATGTGGCGCCGTATAAATACGGTCCGGTCATCTGCAAAGAGACGTCCTAGTCTACAGTTGTGTCGGGGGTCCACCAGGTGTCAGTGTTGGGGCCCCTAAGAGGTCATGGACCCGTAAGCAACTGCTGACTCTGCTTATCGATATTTCCTCCGTTGATCAGGTGTCTCTGATGGACCCCTCATGGCGTGGGTCAGCCAGCTGATGGCGTTGTGGCGTGGCGGGTTCCCCTCTGTCACAGGGAGTAGCAGAGCTCCAGGTGGTTGGGCCAGCTCTGGTTCTGAGCCGGGTTCAGGAAGCGTACGGCCGGGTGCAGCGGCTCGGTGAACTGGTGGTGAGCTCTGTCGAACACGGGAGTCAAAGCGGCTGAGAAGCTGTGCAGGACGGCCATCTTGTCTGCATCGTAGAACGTCAGCTGACCCTTATCATAGTTCACCTTCACCCCCACTCGCCGCGGCAGGCTCCGCCCAGAGCCCTGGCACGCCATGTGGCGGTCGTTGTGCCAGGCCGACAGGTTCCTGTTCTTTAGCTCCATGCACCAGGAGTTCCTGTTTCGGCCCAGCGGGGCGCCTTTATCGGCGCCCTTCCTCTGAAGGCTGCTGTAGGCCACGCCCACAGCCCAGCCGGAGCAGCAGCGGACGTCCACCTCCCAGTAACTCAGTCCTGCGGTGATGGGCGCGGAGCCCAGAGCACAGCAGACCTTATCAAAGCGGAGCGGATGTTCTGGAACGCCGCGTGGAGCGGCGGAGAAGGCGGCGCCCCGCCCCTCTGGAGTCACCAGAATCTGGCTGTGGCTGGTCTGCCTGTCAATCACCGTGGGCCATGAATCTGGGGACGGAGGAGGAACCGGATTAGCATGAAGGTCCTGTTAGCGCAGTTAGCTAGCCCAGACGGTTGGTCGCTACCTAACAGCAGCGTCTTCCTCTGCAGCTGGATCTTCAGCTGCTTGGAGATGAAGGACAAACTTCTCTGGAGCTTCTCAAATCTCTGGATGTCCAGCTTGATTCGCTCCTCCGAGGCGTCGGGTCGTTTAGGACTGGATGAGTGAGAGCGGTGAGGAGCAGGTTGGACTAGAAGCTTGTGGTGAAAGGTGAGGGACTTACCTGACCACCTCCTCCTGACCCTGAGAAGAAGGAAGAACATGAGCTTCAGAGCTCCAGGAGGCGTTACCCGTTACCGTGCTGCTCAGAGATGCTCAGACCTCTGAGGGCGTCTGCTTCAGAGCAGCCAGGATGCTGCCGCTGCTCCTCACCACCTGCTCCTGGTGTTTCAGCCAGTCCTTCAGGATCTGGTCCAGCCTGGTCCTGGTCTGTTTCAGGTCCAGGTCCAGGGAGTCCAGGACGGCCTGCTGGTCCTGCTTCAGGACGCGGTGCATGTTCTCAAAGTGTTCCTGCACCTGATGCTTCATCACCTCTGTGCTGCGCTGGATGGGACCAAACAGAGCAGTTAAAGTTCTGCAGGGCTCGGTCCTGGTTCTGGGTTCTGGTCCTGGTTCTGCTGGGTCCAGTACTTACAGACAGATCTGCTTTGCGTTTCTTCAGAGACTGGATGTGGGCGTCTGTCTTGGTTTTCTCAGCTTCCAGCTCCTCCAGACGTTGGGATAAGAGCTCCTGTAGAAAACAGCGCCGTCCGTCAGGATCCATCACATTCCTAGATGTTCCTGAGACACAGGAAGTCCTGCAAAGGATAGGGAGGGGAGCTACAGGGAATAGCACCAGGTCCTGCAGAGGATAGGGAGGGGAGCTGCAGGGAATAGCACCAGGTCCTGCAGAGGATAGGGAGGGGAGCTGCAGGGAATAGCACCAGGTCCTGCAGAGGATAGGGAGGGGAGCTACAGGGAATAGCACCAGGTCCTGCAGAGGATAGGGAGGGGAGCTGCAGGGAATAGCACCAGGTCCTGCAGAGGATAGGGAGGGGAGCTACAGGGAATAGCACCAGGTCCTGCAGAGGATAGGGAGGGGAGCTACAGGGAATAGCACCAGGTCCTGCAGAGGATAGGGAGGGGAGCTGCAGGGAATAGCACCAGGTCCTGCAGAGGATAGGGAGGGGAGCTACAGGGAATAGCACCAGGTCCTGCAGAGGATAGGGAGGGGAGCTACAGGGAATAGCACCAGGTCCTGCAGAGGATAGGGAGGGGAGCTGCAGGGAATAGCACCAGGTCCTGCAGAGGATAGGGAGGGGAGCTACAGGGAATAGCACCAGGTCCTGCAGAGGATAGGGAGGGGAGCTACAGGGAATAGCACCAGGTCCTGCAAAGGATAGGGAGGGGAGCTACAGGGAATAGCACCAGGTCCTGCAGAGGATAGGGAGGGGAGCTACAGGGAATAGCACCAGGTCCTGCAAAGGATAGGGAGGGGAGCTACAGGGAATAGCACCAGGTCCTGCAGAGGATAGGGAGGGGAGCTACAGGGAATAGCACCAGGTCCTGCAGAGGATAGGGAGGGGAGCTACAGGGAATAGCACCAGGTCCTGCAAAGGATAGGGAGGGGAGCTGCAGGGAATAGCACCAGGTCCTGCAGAGGATAGGGAGGGGAGCTACAGGGAATAGCACCAGGGCCTGCAGAGGATAGGGAGGGGAGCTACAGGGAATAGCACCAGGTCCTGCAGAGGATAGGGAGGGGAGCTGCAGGGAATAGCACCAGGTCCTGCAGAGGATAGGGAGGGGAGCTACAGGGAATAGCACCAGGTCCTGCAGAGGATAGGGAGGGGAGCTACAGGGAATAGCACCAGGTCCTGCAGAGGATAGGGAGGGGAGCTGCAGGGAATAGCACCAGGTCCTGCAAAGGATAGGGAGGGGAGCTACAGGGAATAGCACCAGGTCCTGCAGAGGATAGGGAGGGGAGCTACAGGGAATAGCACCAGGGCCTGCAGAGGATAGGGAGGGGAGCTACAGGGAATAGCACCAGGTCCTGCAGAGGATAGGGAGGGGAGCTACAGGGAATAGCACCAGGGCCTGCAGAGGATAGGGAGGGGAGCTACAGGGAATAGCACCAGGTCCTGCAAAGGATAGGGAGGGGAGCTGCAGGGAATAGCACCAGGTCCTGCAGAGGATAGGGAGGGGAGCTGCAGGGAATAGCACCAGGTCCTGCAAAGGATAGGGAGGGGAGCTGCAGGGAATAGCACCAGGTCCTGCAGAGGATAGGGAGGGGAGCTGCAGGGAATAGCACCAGGTCCTGAAAGGATAGGGAGGGGAGCTGCAGGGAATAGCACCAGGTCCTGCAGAGGATAGGGAGGGGAGCTGCAGGGAATAGCACCAGGTCCTGCAGAGGATAGGGAGGGGAGCTACAGGGAATAGCACCAGGTCCTGCAGAGGATAGGGAGGGGAGCTGCAGGGAATAGCACCAGGTCCTGCAGAGGATAGGGAGGGGAGCTGCAGGGAATAGCACCAGGTCCTGCAAAGGATAGGGAGGGGAGCTACAGGGAATAGCACCAGGTCCTGCAGAGGATAGGGAGGGGAGCTGCAGGGAATAGCACCAGGTCCTGCAAAGGATAGGGAGGGGAGCTACAGGGAATAGCACCAGGTCCTGCAGAGGATAGGGAGGGGAGCTGCAGGGAATAGCACCAGGTCCTGCAGAGGATAGGGAGGGGAGCTACAGGGAATAGCACCAGGTCCTGCAGAGGATAGGGAGGGGAGCTGCAGGGAATAGCACCAGGTCCTGCAGAGGATAGGGAGGGGAGCTGCAGGGAATAGCACCAGGTCCTGCAGAGGATAGGGAGGGGAGCTGCAGGGAATAGCACCAGGTCCTGCAAAGGATAGGGAGGGGAGCTGCAGGGAATAGCACCAGGTCCTGCAGAGGATAGGGAGGGGAGCTGCAGGGAATAGCACCAGGGCCTGCAGAGGATAGGGAGGGGAGCTACAGGGAATAGCACCAGGTCCTGCAGAGGATAGGGAGGGGAGCTGCAGGGAATAGCACCAGGTCCTGCAAAGGATGGGGAGGGGAGCTACAGGGAATAGCACCAGGTCCTGCAAAGGATGGGGAGGGGAGCTACAGGGAATAGCACCAGGTCCTGCAGAGGATAGGGAGGGGAGCTGCAGGGAATAGCACCAGGTCCTGCAAAGGATAGGGAGGGGAGCTGCAGGGAATAGCACCAGGTCCTGCAAAGGATAGGGAGGGGAGCTACAGGGAATAGCACCAGGGCCTGCAAAGGATGGGGAGGGGAGCTACAGGGAATAGCACCAGGTCCTGCAGAGGATAGGGAGGGGAGCTGCAGGGAATAGCACCAGGTCCTGCAAAGGATGGGGAGGGGAGCTGCAGGGAATAGCACCAGGTCCTGCAAAGGATAGGGAGGGGAGCTACAGGGAATAGCACCAGGGCCTGCAGAGGATAGGGAGGGGAGCTACAGGGAATAGCACCAGGTCCTGCAGAGGATAGGGAGGGGAGCTGCAGGGAATAGCACCAGGTCCTGCAAAGGATGGGGAGGGGAGCTACAGGGAATAGCACCAGGTCCTGCAAAGGATGGGGAGGGGAGCTGCAGGGAATAGCACCAGGTCCTGCAAAGGATAGGGAGGGGAGCTGCAGGGAATAGCACCAGGTCCTGCAAAGGATAGGGAGGGGAGCTACAGGGAATAGCACCAGGTCCTGCAAAGGATGGGGAGGGGAGCTGCAGGGAATAGCACCAGGTCCTGCAAAGGATAGGGAGGGGAGCTGCAGGGAATAGCACCAGGTCCTGCAGAGGATAGGGAGGGGAGCTGCAGGGAATAGCACCAGGTCCTGCAAAGGATAGGGAGGGGAGCTACAGGGAATAGCACCAGGTCCTGCAAAGGATAGGGAGGGGAGCTACAGGGAATAGCACCAGGGCCTGCAGAGGATAGGGAGGGGAGCTACAGGGAATAGCACCAGGTCCTGCAGAGGATAGGGAGGGGAGCTGCAGGGAATAGCACCAGGTCCTGCAAAGGATGGGGAGGGGAGCTGCAGGGAATAGCACCAGGTCCTGCAAAGGATAGGGAGGGGAGCTGCAGGGAATAGCACCAGGTCCTGCAAAGGATAGGGAGGGGAGCTACAGGGAATAGCACCAGGTCCTGCAAAGGATGGGGAGGGGAGCTGCAGGGAATAGCACCAGGTCCTGCAAAGGATAGGGAGGGGAGCTGCAGGGAATAGCACCAGGTCCTGCAGAGGATAGGGAGGGGAGCTGCAGGGAATAGCACCAGGGCCTGCAAAGGATGGGGAGGGGAGCTACAGGGAATAGCACCAGGTCCTGCAGAGGATAGGGAGGGGAGCTGCAGGGAATAGCACCAGGTCCTGCAAAGGATGGGGAGGGGAGCTACAGGGAATAGCACCAGGTCCTGCAAAGGATGGGGAGGGGAGCTACAGGGAATAGCACCAGGTCCTGCAGAGGATAGGGAGGGGAGCTGCAGGGAATAGCACCAGGTCCTGCAAAGGATAGGGAGGGGAGCTGCAGGGAATAGCACCAGGTCCTGCAAAGGATAGGGAGGGGAGCTACAGGGAATAGCACCAGGTCCTGCAGAGGATAGGGAGGGGAGCTGCAGGGAATAGCACCAGGTCCTGCAGAGGATAGGGAGGGGAGCTGCAGGGAATAGCACCAGGGCCTGCAAAGGATGGGGAGGGGAGCTACAGGGAATAGCACCAGGTCCTGCAGAGGATAGGGAGGGGAGCTGCAGGGAATAGCACCAGGTCCTGCAAAGGATGGGGAGGGGAGCTACAGGGAATAGCACCAGGTCCTGCAAAGGATGGGGAGGGGAGCTACAGGGAATAGCACCAGGTCCTGCAGAGGATAGGGAGGGGAGCTGCAGGGAATAGCACCAGGTCCTGCAAAGGATAGGGAGGGGAGCTGCAGGGAATAGCACCAGGTCCTGCAAAGGATAGGGAGGGGAGCTACAGGGAATAGCACCAGGGCCTGCAGAGGATAGGGAGGGGAGCTGCAGGGAATAGCACCAGGTCCTGAAAGGATAGGGAGGGGAGCTGCAGGGAATAGCACCAGGTCCTGCAAAGGATGGGGAGGGGAGCTGCAGGGAATAGCACCAGGTCCTGCAAAGGATAGGGAGGGGAGCTACAGGGAATAGCACCAGGGCCTGCAGAGGATAGGGAGGGGAGCTACAGGGAATAGCACCAGGTCCTGCAGAGGATAGGGAGGGGAGCTGCAGGGAATAGCACCAGGTCCTGCAAAGGATGGGGAGGGGAGCTGCAGGGAATAGCACCAGGTCCTGCAAAGGATAGGGAGGGGAGCTGCAGGGAATAGCACCAGGTCCTGCAAAGGATAGGGAGGGGAGCTACAGGGAATAGCACCAGGTCCTGCAAAGGATGGGGAGGGGAGCTGCAGGGAATAGCACCAGGTCCTGCAAAGGATAGGGAGGGGAGCTGCAGGGAATAGCACCAGGTCCTGCAGAGGATAGGGAGGGGAGCTGCAGGGAATAGCACCAGGTCCTGCAAAGGATAGGGAGGGGAGCTACAGGGAATAGCACCAGGTCCTGCAAAGGATAGGGAGGGGAGCTACAGGGAATAGCACCAGGGCCTGCAGAGGATAGGGAGGGGAGCTACAGGGAATAGCACCAGGTCCTGCAGAGGATAGGGAGGGGAGCTGCAGGGAATAGCACCAGGTCCTGCAAAGGATGGGGAGGGGAGCTGCAGGGAATAGCACCAGGTCCTGCAAAGGATAGGGAGGGGAGCTGCAGGGAATAGCACCAGGTCCTGCAAAGGATAGGGAGGGGAGCTACAGGGAATAGCACCAGGTCCTGCAAAGGATGGGGAGGGGAGCTGCAGGGAATAGCACCAGGTCCTGCAAAGGATAGGGAGGGGAGCTGCAGGGAATAGCACCAGGTCCTGCAGAGGATAGGGAGGGGAGCTGCAGGGAATAGCACCAGGTCCTGCAAAGGATAGGGAGGGGAGCTGCAGGGAATAGCACCAGGTCCTGCAGAGGATAGGGAGGGGAGCTGCAGGGAATAGCACCAGGTCCTGCAAAGGATAGGGAGGGGAGCTGCAGGGAATAGCACCAGGTCCTGCAGAGGATAGGGAGGGGAGCTACAGGGAATAGCACCAGGTCCTGCAAAGGATAGGGAGGGGAGCTGCAGGGAATAGCACCAGGTCCTGCAAAGGATAGGGAGGGGAGCTGCAGGGAATAGCACCAGGTCCTGCAAAGGATAGGGAGGGGAGCTACAGGGAATAGCACCAGGTCCTGCAAAGGATGGGGAGGGGAGCTACAGGGAATAGCACCAGGTCCTGCAAAGGATAGGGAGGGGAGCTGCAGGGAATAGCACCAGGTCCTGCAAAGGATAGGGAGGGGAGCTACAGGGAATAGCACCAGGTCCTGCAGAGGATAGGGAGGGGAGCTGCAGGGAATAGCACCAGGTCCTGCAAAGGATAGGGAGGGGAGCTGCAGGGAATAGCACCAGGTCCTGCAAAGGATAGGGAGGGGAGCTGCAGGGAATAGCACCAGGTCCTGCAGAGGATAGGGAGGGGAGCTACAGGGAATAGCACCAGGTCCTGCAAAGGATGGGGAGGGGAGCTACAGGGAATAGCACCAGGTCCTGCAAAGGATAGGGAGGGGAGCTGCAGGGAATAGCACCAGGTCCTGCAAAGGATAGGGAGGGGAGCTACAGGGAATAGCACCAGGTCCTGCAGAGGATAGGGAGGGGAGCTACAGGGAATAGCACCAGGTCCTGCAGAGGATAGGGAGGGGAGCTAACCGGTCCGTCTGGTCCCTGATGCCCTCTGGTTCTGCTGGTCCCTAACGGGCAGAGCCTACCTGGGACAGCTGGGGGCCTCTGGCCGCCTTCCGCTGTAGTTTGGGCGAGCGTGGGAAAGGCTGGACCGCGGCGCCGCTGCTGGAGTCCAGAGGACTGAAGCCCTCCCCGTCCTGCAGGAAGCTGCAGAGGCCAGCAGAGGGCAGCGAGCGCTCAGGTCCATCAGCCATTGTTCTGGAGCTGAAACGGGTCAGAAAGTTCTGGTCAATAGATTAGTGAGGATTGGAGCTTTGAAGGTTCCAGACCAGCAGCTGCTTCTATCTGTGGTGGGAAAACTTTCTGGTAAATTCTCAGCTCTGCTGGAATCTGTCTGGACTTGCTGAACCTCAGACTTCAGTTCTCTCTAAGCGGGTCGGTTCTGATGTTTTGGTTCTGCCCCCCCGGTCTAGAGAATGAAAGCAGAACCAAAACATCGATTTTTTGGTTTGTTTGTTTGTTTTAATATGGTGTGCAGGACATAAAACAAACATTAATGTTTTCCATGCTGTAAACATTTGTGTAATAAATACATTTATACAATAATTAGCATCATAGAGATCAGTGGTCAGAACCTGCAGCCAGCGTTAGCGGCGCCAGACAGATTTATTTATTTATTGTTTTGTTTTTATTAAATATGTCTCTTTGATCAATTTGGGTTGCCGACCCCTGACCTAACCACTAACCTTCTCTCCATGTTCCAAGTGGAAACATTAGAAACGGGTCGACCCAGAAATCACCTCCTACCTGAGGTTCTGGAGCTGCTGGGACCTGGTGCTGCTGGGTTCTGTTGCTACAAGGTTCTGGAGCTGCTGGGTTCTGGAGCTGCTGGGTTCTGGTGCTACAGGGTTCTGGTGCTGCACGGTTCTGGAGCTGCTGGGTTCTGGAGCTGCAAGGTTCTGGTGCTGCAGGGTTCTGGTGCTACAAGGTTCTGGAGCTGCTGGGTTCTGGAGCTGCTGGGTTCTGGAGCTGCTGGGTTCTGGAGCTGCTGGGTTCTGGTGCTGCAGGGTTCTGGTGCTACAAGGTTCTGGAGCTGCTGGGTTCTGGAGCTGCTGGGTTCTGGAGCTGCTGGGTTCTGGTGCTACAGGGTTCTGGTGCTACAGGGTTCTGGTGCTACAGGGTTCTGGTGCTACAAGGTTCTGGAGCTGCTGGGTTCTGGAGCTGCTGGGTTCTGGTGCTGCAGGGTTCTGGTGCTACAGGGTTCTGGTGCTGCACGGTTCTGGAGCTGCTGGGTTCTTGAGTGGTGGTGCAAGGGCTGGCTCCGCCTGCAGCACATTGCTGTTCCCTCCGCAGACTGTTTTTCGGGTCGGGACATGTCGGGATTTTCGGGTCGGGACGTGTCAGGATTTTCGGGTCGGGACGTGTCAGGATTTTCGGGTCGGGACGTGTCAGGATTTTCGGGTCGGGACGTGTCAGGATTTTCGGGTCGGGACGTGTCAGGATTTTCGGGTCGGGACGTGTCAGGATTTTCGGGTCGGGACGTGTCAGGATTTTCGGGTCGGGACGTGTCGGGATTTTCGGGTCGGGACATGTCGGGATTTTCGGGTCGGGACGTGTCAGGATTTTCGGGTCGGGACATGTCAGGATTTTCGGGTCGGGACGTGTCAGGATTTTCGGGTCGGGACATGTCAGGATTTTCGGGTCGGGACGTGTCAGGATTTTCGGGTCGGGACGTGTCAGGATTTTCGGGTCGGGACGTGTCAGGATTTTCGGGTCGGGACGTGTCAGGATTTTCGGGTCGGGACGTGTCAGGATTTTCGGGTCGGGACGTGTCGGGATTTTCGGGTCGGGACGTGTCAGGATTTTCGGGTCGGGACGTGTCGGGATTTTCGGGTCGGGACATGTCGGGATTTTCGGGTCGGGACGTGTCAGGATTTTCGGGTCGGGACGTGTCAGGATTTTCGGGTCGGGACGTGTCAGGATTTTCGGGTCGGGACGTGTCAGGATTTTCGGGTCGGGACGTGTCAGGATTTTCGGGTCGGGACGTGTCAGGATTTTCGGGTCGGGACGTGTCAGGATTTTCGGGTCGGGACGTGTCAGGATTTTCGGGTCGGGACGTGTCAGGATTTTCGGGTCGGGACGTGTCAGGATTTTCGGGTCGGGACGTGTCAGGATTTTCGGGTCGGGACGTGTCGGGATTTTCGGGTCGGGACATGTCGGGATTTTCGGGTCGGGACGTGTCAGGATTTTCGGGTCGGGACGTGTCAGGATTTTCGGGTCGGGACGTGTCAGGATTTTCGGGTCGGGACGTGTCAGGATTTTCGGGTCGGGACGTGTCAGGATTTTCGGGTCGGGACGTGTCAGGATTTTCGGGTCGGGACGTGTCAGGATTTTCGGGTCGGGACGTGTCAGGATTTTCGGGTCGGGACGTGTCAGGATTTTCGGGTCGGGACGTGTCAGGATTTTCGGGTCGGGACGTGTCAGGATTTTCGGGTCGGGACGTGTCAGGATTTTCGGGTCGGGACGTGTCGGGATTTTCGGGTCGGGACATGTCGGGATTTTCGGGTCGGGACGTGTCAGGATTTTCGGGTCGGGACATGTCAGGATTTTCGGGTCGGGACGTGTCAGGATTTTCGGGTCGGGACATGTCAGGATTTTCGGGTCGGGACGTGTCAGGATTTTCGGGTCGGGACGTGTCAGGATTTTCGGGTCGGGACGTGTCAGGATTTTCGGGTCGGGACGTGTCAGGATTTTCGGGTCGGGACGTGTCAGGATTTTCGGGTCGGGACGTGTCAGCATGTTCTCTCTGTTCCAGGTACGCTCAGTTCTACGCACAGGACCAGTTCTGCCACTACAACATGTTCAACCATCACTTCTTTGGAGGACAGGTGAGGCGCAGCAGGCTGAGGCTCCTCCTCCTCCTCCTCCTCTCACTCACTGATGGAGCCTCCTTTCTCCTCAGGCCTCCAGAACCGTGCTGGAGAACTTCCTGGAGGAGGTCCCTGGTCAGAAGGTGGTGATGGTAGCCGACCCTCCGTTCGGTGGACTGGTCCGACCGCTGGCAAACAGCTTCTCTCTGATCTCCCAGATGTGGAGGAGGAGGAGGCGGCAGGAGCCTGGTGGGGGCTTCACTCATTAGTGGTCCAAACCCAGTTCCTTCAGATGTTCTCCATGGTGACCTGTCATCCTGCGTGTCTCCAGGTGACTCGGAGGCTGACCTGCCCTTGGTCTGGATCTTCCCGTACTTCTTTGAGCCGCGCATCCTGGAGTGTCTGCCCTCCCTCGCCATGCTGGACTACCAGGTTCTGAACTTTAAATCAGCCATTAGAAACGGAACATCCAGATGTTCCAGATGTTTCCAAAGATCTGATCTTCTGGATTTTAGCCAAATTTAAGCTTCCAGGTCTTCATGTTTGCAAGTGTTATAGGAAAGACAGTTGGACCCATCACTGGTTCTAGGTGAGACCAGGGAGCCTCTACAGGTCCTGGTCTGGTCTACTTCATCTGAGGAAGGGTCAGGTTTATCCTACTCCACCAAACCCGCCGGCCATCGCCTTAGATTCTCTGAAACGGCCTTAAAGCTGATCTCTGCTCAGAAACCAGGTGGCCTGCGTGTGTATCGCAGTTAACGTAGATAAGCCCCGCCCCTTCTCCTGCCCCTGTAGGGGACCGCAGACAGGAGGCCTCTGATTGGTCGGTTCTCCATCTGCTCTACTCTATGCGCATTTCCTGTTTGGTTCCTTACCGGCTGGTTCTGTTTGTCTGACCGCCATTGTGGAAATCGACTGGTGAAGATGGAGCAGCTAGCAGAGCGAGGTGCGCGAGAACGTTGGGAGCCTTTTTCCACCTGGATCCCCGCTCTTTTTGGCCCTCATTTCCCTCCGTTGTCGCACAAACTTGCCCCCACTTCCTCACCGCCTCGGCTGTACCTGGACCCACTGCGTATAGCGCAGACCACTCTTCAATACTGAGCATACATCAGAAATATCTGCAACACGCTCACTGTGGTGGGGGTCCAGATTGACCATGTGGTATGGGTCCAGGTTCATCATGTGTTGGGGGCCAGATTGACCTTGTGGTTCTGTGGTGGGGGTCCAGGTTGACCTTGTGGTTCTGTGGTGGGGGTCCAGGTTGACCTTGTGGTTCTTTGGTGGGGGTCCAGGTTGACCATGTAGTTCTTTGGTGGGGGTCCAGGTTGACCATGTAGTTCTTTGGTGGGGGTCCAGGTTGACCATGTGGTGGGGGTCCGGGTTGACCATGTAGTTCTTTGGTGGGGGTCCAGGTTGACCATGTAGTTCTTTGGTGGGGGTCCAGGTTGACCATGTAGTTCTTTGGTGGGGGTCCAGGTTGACCTTGTGGTTTCTGTGGTGGGGGTCCAGATTGAACATGTGGTTCTGTGGTGGGGGTCCAGGTTGACGTTGTGGTGGGGGTCCAGGTTGACCATGTGGTTCTGTGGTGGGGGTCCATATTGACCATATGGTTCTGTGGTGGGGGTCCAGATTGACCATGTGGTGGGGGTCCAGGCAGCTGATGGTTCTGTGTTTTCGTCCAGGTGGACTATGACAACCATCCTCTGTATAAACACGGGAAGACGGGTCGGAGACAGTCTCCTGTGAGAATCTTCACCAACATTCCAGCCCAGGATGTGGTTCTGCCTGCAGAGGAGGGCTACAGGTACCAGAGGTCACATGGTCCAGAACCAGGAACTTAGATCCGGGTCCAATGGTGGCTCTGTTTGTTTCTGCAGGTTCTGCTCGCTGTGCCAGAGGTACGTCAGCTCCCTGAACAAGCACTGCTCCGCCTGCAACCTGTGTCCATCCAAGGTAGCGCCGCCGGCCCCCAGGGGCCCCGTCTATCTGGCCCCCTGCCATCCCCTGCAGTTCTGATCCCAGCTGTGTTTGTGCCTCCAGGACGGCCGTCAGTGGAAGCACTGCTCCGCCTGCAGCAGATGTGTGAAGCCCTGTAAGAGAGGAACATCTGGACACGGTTGGTTGGACGTCCTGGATGTGTGGACTAACCAAAGCTGTCTTTAACCAGCCTGGAGACACTGCCTGGCCTGCAGCCGCTGCGCCCTGCCGGACCACCCCTGTAGGAGCGCCGGAGGGAGAGGAGGAGCGGCGGAGGACGGCTGCTTCAGCTGCGGCAGCCTGCAGCACAAGCAGAACGCCTGCCCCCTCAGAGCCCGCCCCCGGAGCAGCAGGTGAGCCTCAGGTAGGCGTCGCATCTCCAGAGAAAGGAACCCAGCGGGTCTGAACCCGTCCTGATGTCTGTGTTCAGCTCCGGGCCCAGAGCCAGGAGGCGGAGTCAGAAGGCATCCCGCCACGCAGCGCCGCCTGTAGCACAGAGCAGAGGCGCTCGGCCCCTCTGACCCCCCCTGCTGTTTGGGAGAGTAAGTTCACCATCTGGGAACCCACCAGAACAGAACCAGCTGGGCTGTACCGGTTCTGACCCGATTAAAACCCCGGGACGAGACTAAGATGGAGCCAAACAGTTACAGCAAACAGGAAGGGGCGGAGTCAGACCACAAGCAGTATATGAAAGTAGCAGCATGGCGCTCTGAATGAAGGGGGCGCTGTTCCCGGTACCGATGATTTAAAACCTTCCAGCTGTTAGAACAATAATAACTAGAAAAAATGAGAATGGTTCTGCTGAATGAATCAAAAAGCTGAAATTACCTGAAGAACATGAAAATGGGAAAGAAGTCATCAGAAACTTCAAACATTTGAAAACATTTTTTTAGGGTAGAATCATTTGGCAGTAAAATGGCACAAACAGATTCATCTAAAAAGCTGCACAGCCAAACCACACATGATGTCAAAGAATGTTTTAAAGTGGGGACTAAAAGGGTAAAAAATATGTTTATCAAAGTATTTATAATTCTTTAATAAAAAAATTTTATATAAACAATTCCGTCAGATATATTATGTCACAATTAATTTGCGTGGAACTGATAATAAAGCCGTATGTTTGAAAAGGAAGCTGGAGGCGGAGAAAAAGCTAGAGAATATTTATATATACATATATATAAATATATATGTGTCATGGAACTGCGCTTCCAGCTCCTTCATATTTCATGTAATAACTTGTGTTCATGGTTCTTGTTGATGGCATTAAAATCATTTCAAATAGCATTAAATTAGCATTAAATTAGAGTCACTCATTCCTGTATGAACCCTGTGAGCGCTTAATTTAATATGACATATCAAAAAAATCACCATCATCCAGCATATGTTCAGTTTCTGCCCAAAAATATTTTTGTTGTTGTACATTTTTGTAACGGGGATAACTAGGATCATTCTAAACTGCTTTTTTTTAATGAACTTGTTCTCTACTCCCAAACTCAGCATCTCTTTTCATTCCTGTAATAAGAAGTTTCTATTGAATGGCTTTCATTAAACTTTTAGTTCCTCGGTATAAAATAAATATGTTGATGGAGATGAGAAATCTGCTTCCTGGTTGGTGAATAACCAATAGTTTGCATCCAATCATTTAAATAAACGGTGTTAGTTTTTTTGGAACAAAGAAGAATTGTGCTATAATTTCTAGTCACCGATCTGTTGCTACTATATTTTAATTTGACGAACCGGAGTTTCTCGATGTTCTCTTTCCTGTTTGGTGCGATTGCAATAGAGGATCCTGACCTGGCCGGACGAATGATGAAGTTTAGGCTGAATTTTGCTGAAATCTGAGAATTCTACATGCATGTCAATGGGGCCAAATATCGCAGAAAAAGCTGAATATCGCGAAGACTACAAAAAATATCTTTACCAAAAGTCATAGCAGTCTTTATTCAGTTTTTTTTCTTTAAAGTTAAAAGCTCCCAGAGGAACGCCCCTTAGAAACGCCCCTTAGAAACGCCCCTTAGAAACGCCCAGAGATGTTCCAAACTTTTAAACCCTAAACTTTAACCCTAACCCAGAGCTAGCTCCCACCACTGTTAGCTCCCAGAGCTAGCCCCCTCCAATGTTAGCTCCCAGAGCTAGCTCCCTCCACTGTTAGCTCCCAGAGCTAGCCCCCTCCAATGTTAGCTCCCAGAGCTAGCTCCCTCCACTGTTAGCTCCCAGAGCTAGCCCCCTCCAATGTTAGCTCCCAGAGCTAGCTCCCTCCACTGTTAGCTCCCAGAGCTAGCCCCCTCCAATGTTAGCTCCCAGAGCTAGCTCCCTCCACTGTTAGCTCCCAGAGCTAGCTCCCACCACTGTTAGCTCCCAGAGCTAGCCCCCTCCAATGTTAGCTCCCAGAGCTAGCTCCCTCCACTGTTAGCTCCCAGAGCTAGCTCCCACCACTGTTAGCTCCCAGAGCTAGCCCCCACCACTGTTAGCTCCCAGAGCTAGCCCCCTCCAATGTTAGCTCCCAGAGCTAGCCCCCACCACTGTTAGCTCCCAGAGCTAGCCCCCTCCAATGTTAGCTCCCAGAGCTAGCTCCCTCCACTGTTAGCTCCCAGAGCTAGCTCCCACCACTGTTAGCTCCCAGAGCTAGCCCCCACCACTGTTAGCTCCCAGAGCTAGCCCCCTCCACTGTTAGCTCCCAGAGCTAGCTCCCACCACTGTTAGCTCCCAGAGCTAGCCCCCTCCAATGTTAGCTCCCAGAGCTAGCTCCCTCCACTGTTAGCTCCCAGAGCTAGCTCCCACCACTGTTAGCTCCCAGAGCTAGCCCCCACCACTGTTAGCTCCCAGAGCTAGCCCCCTCCACTGTTAGCTCCCAGAGCTAGCCCCACCACTGTTAGCTCCCAGAGCTAGCCCCCTCCAATGTTAGCTCCCAGAGCTAGCCCCCACCACTGTTAGCTCCCAGAGCTAGCAACCTGCTCCCTTCCAAACTCTCTTGTCCATTATCTTCTATCAGTCTGACTCCGATCCTGGCTGTCCTCCTGCTCTGATCTCCTGCGGTTAGCTCCCTTAGCTCCAGCGGGCGCCTGGCCCCCCATGTCTGCTCCTGAATGAGCCTCTAAAATTCTAGGAGGGCCTGTCATTGTGGAATCTGACTCCGCCTCTTTCTGTTTGCTTCACCAAGGTCCTTCTCCACCCCCTCAGTGGGGAACAGGAACCCACAGCCCTGGTTCTGGTCCACAGGTTCTCAGCTCTGTGATGTGCAGACTTTGACTAGACCTTTAAGCATTTGAATCCTGTATCTTTCCTTCAGTGTGGAGCTGCTGCTGTTTTAGGGGTCGCTGTTTCCATGGTGACCCAGCTTGGAGGAAGTTCCGGCTGTTGGAGCAATCTAGGAATTATTATGGGATGTTGGTTTTCCTTCAAATGTGGAGCCGTGCTTCATGTCTGAAATCCCTGCAGACAAAGCTACCAGAGAGGAAGCGTCCTGGAAAAGCTCCTGGAAACCACCTGGAAACCTCCTGGAAACCTCCTGGAAACCTTCCAAACTGCTTCAGTCTGGTGGAAAACGATCGCTCGGTTTTCTGTCGTGTTCTGATCCATAAAACCCAGAAACTGAATTTTTCCTTCAGTGAACCGATTGATGTTTGTTTTTGGAAAGTAGACAGGAAATTAGTGCAGGGTCAAAGGTCACCGGGTCGTGACCTCTGAACATGGGTTAGCACCTGCATCGCCACCTGTTGAATATTCTGACAAATAAAATATTGATATCAGAACTTTTACTTTTTACTTTTTTTCTTTTAACAATAAAAAACTTTTAAAAAAAAACTGAAGTTTTTCTTTTTTTTTCCTGAATTAGAAATAATAAAAGTCTTTCTGGGTCATCCGATGCTAGCATTAGCATCAAGGAGATGGAAATAAAGCTCCGCCTGGGGTCAAAGGTCAGACCCTCTTTAGTCTTTTATTCTGAGATTAATTTACTGCTTAAAATGTTTAAATGTAGAAACAGGAGAACGGGATAGAATCTATGATTTCTAGATCTGTTGTCAGATTTCTGCTAGAAGGAAGGAGTCTAAACTAGGAGAAGGTAGGAGGGCGTTGAGGAGGACGGCCTCCCTGGAGGCCCCCGGCTACAGAGGAGGGAGGTGTGACATCACAGCCTGGTGGGGTCCCAGCAGGAGACTCTGCTGCTGATAAGGATCCATCTGAGCTCAGCTAAACATCTGGAGGTAAAGATCCAAATAAGGAGCCGAGATCTTTGGATCCAACACCACTTCATCCGCTGCCATGGGGTGAGTACGACGCTGCAGGCAGGAGGGGGGGGGGTTAGCAGCAGGAGGGGGAGGGGGTTAGCAGCAGGAGGGGGGGGGGGCATCGCTGAGACGATGTGTTCAGCTGCAGAACCAAAGCTGAGGTCCTGCTGAAGAACATCCTTCCTATTAGATCCAGGTGGTGCCGTTCATCTGGAATCACACCCTGCAAACCTTCCTGACCTTTGACCCTGCATTGACCTTTGACCCTGCATTGATCCAGCCCATCACCGGATCTCCAGCAGGAGGTTCTGGTGCTGTAGAGGAAACCTCCAGCCCAGTCTCAGGTCTGCCTCTCCACAGCATGATGCTGCCACCACCATGTTTCACAAAGGGGTGGGCTGTTACTGCTGCCTCCCTGCTGTCAACCTTTATTATCTCAATTCAACTCTATTCAGTTTATTTCTATGCTTCAATCATGTCAGTTACTTTATAGATCCAAAACAATCAGATCGCCCAGTAAGACAGAGACACTAGAAATGAGCTTCTAGGATTTTCTAAAATGCAGACGACAGAACTGGAAAGAAAAATAAAAAGCTGGAGTGGTTAGAGAAAAGTAAAATTAGAATGTGATATGAAAAAGGAAACCAGGTGAGCAGAGTAAAAAACTGTGAGGCTGATCTATGTGGGCAAGGGATCTAAAACATCTAGATCTACCCTGTCTGATTAAACTTACAGACTTGGACAACTTTTGTCATTTTAAGTTTTGTTTTCTGCAGCTTTGATGAACTTTTCCATTAAAGTTCAGCTGTGATCAAATGTAAACATTGTGAGAAAAAACATAAAACGCTTTGATCTGGAAGTTCAGAGCATTAATATCTATGGTGCAGATCTGGAAGTTCAGAGCATTAATATCTATGGTGCAGATCTGGAAGTTCAGAGCATTAATATCTATGGTGCAGATCTGGAAGTTCAGAGCATTAATATCTATGGTGCAGATCTGGAAGTTCAGAGGGTTAATATCTATGGTGCAGATCTGGAAGTTCAGAGGGTTAATATCTATGGTGCAGATCTGGAAGTTCAGAGCATTAATATCTATGGTGCAGATCTGGAAGTTCAGAGCGTTAATATCTATGGTGCAGATCTGGAAGTTCAGAGCATTAATATCTATGGTGCAGATCTGGAAGTTCAGAGCGTTAATATCTATGGTGCAGATCTGGAAGTTCAGAGCATTAATATCTATGGTGCAGATCTGGAAGTTCAGAGCATTAATATCTATGGTGCAGATCTGGAAGTTCAGAGCATTAATATCTATGGTGCAGATCTGGAAGTTCAGAGCGTTAATATCTATGGTGCAGATCTGGAAGTTCAGAGCGTTAATATCTATGGTGCAGATCTGGAAGTTCAGAGCATTAATATCTATGGTGCAGATCTGGAAGTTCAGAGGGTTAATATCTATGGTGCAGATCTGGAAGTTCAGAGCATTAATATCTATGGTGCAGATCTGGAAGTTCAGAGGGTTAATATCTATGGTGCAGATCTGGAAGTTCAGAGCATTAATATCTATGGTGCAGATCTGGAAGTTCAGAGCGTTAATATCTATGGTGCAGATCTGGAAGTTCAGAGCGTTAATATCTATGGTGCAGATCTGGAAGTTCAGAGCGTTAATATCTATGGTGCAGATCTGGAAGTTCAGAGCGTTAATATCTATGGTGCAGATCTGGAAGTTCAGAGCGTTAATATCTATGGTGCAGATCTGGAAGTTCAGAGCATTAATATCTATGGTGCAGATCTGGAAGTTCAGAGCATTAATATCTATGGTGCAGATCTGGAAGTTCAGAGGGTTAATATCTATGGTGCAGATCTGGAAGTTCAGAGGGTTAATATCTATGGTGCAGATCTGGAAGTTCAGAGCATTAATATCTATGGTGCAGATCTGGAAGTTCAGAGCGTTAATATCTATGGTGCAGATCTGGAAGTTCAGAGCGTTAATATCTATGGTGCAGATCTGGAAGTTCAGAGCATTAATATCTATGGTGCAGATCTGGAAGTTCAGAGCATTAATATCTATGGTGCAGATCTGGAAGTTCAGAGGGTTAATATCTATGGTGCAGATCTGGAAGTTCAGAGCATTAATATCTATGGTGCAGATCTGGAAGTTCAGAGCATTAATATCTATGGTGCAGATCTGGAAGTTCAGAGCATTAATATCTATGGTGCAGATCTGGAAGTTCAGAGCGTTAATATCTATGGTGCAGATCTGGAAGTTCAGAGCGTTAATATCTATGGTGCAGATCTGGAAGTTCAGAGCATTAATATCTATGGTGCAGATCTGGAAGTTCAGAGCATTAATATCTATGGTGCAGATCTGGAAGTTCAGAGGGTTAATATCTATGGTGCAGATCTGGAAGTTCAGAGCATTAATATCTATGGTGCAGATCTGGAAGTTCAGAGCATTAATATCTATGGTGCAGATCTGGAAGTTCAGAGCATTAATATCTATGGTGCAGATCTGGAAGTTCAGAGCATTAATATCTATGGTGCAGATCTGGAAGTTCAGAGGGTTAATATCTATGGTGCAGATCTGGAAGTTCAGAGCATTAATATCTATGGTGCAGATCTGGAAGTTCAGAGCGTTAATATCTATGGTGCAGATCTGGAAGTTCAGAGGGTTAATATCTATGGTGCAGATCTGGAAGTTCAGAGCATTAATATCTATGGTGCAGATCTGGAAGTTCAGAGCATTAATATCTATGGTGCAGATCTGGAAGTTCAGAGGGTTAATATCTATGGTGCAGATCTGGAAGTTCAGAGCATTAATATCTATGGTGCAGATCTGGAAGTTCAGAGGGTTAATATCTATGGTGCAGATCTGGAAGTTCAGAGGGTTAATATCTATGGTGCAGATCTGGAAGTTCAGAGCATTAATATCTATGGTGCAGATCTGGAAGTTCAGAGCATTAATATCTATGGTGCAGATCTGCAGTGTTGGTTTGGTGTTATCAGTGTGATGGCGGTGGGGAAGAAGCTGCTGCAGAACCTGCTGGTCCTGCATTGAATGCTGGGAAGCCTCTTCCCAGAGGGCAGCAGGGAGAACAGTCCATGGTGGGGGGGGTGAGGGGTCATTGATGATGTCACGGGCTCGGGACACGCAGCGCTGGGATGAAATGTCTTTGATGGAGGGAAGAGGAGCCCCCATGATCCTCTCTGCTGTTCTCACCTTCTTCCAGTCTGAGGCGCTGCAGCCTCCACACCACACAGTGAGACAGCTGCTCAGAACGCTCTCTATGGGGGGGAGGATGGGGGGGGCAGGAAGTCCAAGCGCTTCTGGGCCCTTTGGACCAGTGAGGTGGTGTTTCCAGTCCAGGTGAGGGTGTCTGTGATGAATGTGGTGCTGCTGACCACCTCTACAGCTGAGCTGTTGATGAGCAGTGGAGCGTGGTTAGGCCGCTTCTTCCTGAAGTCCACCATGATCTCCTTGGTCTTCTCCACCTTCAGGATCAGGCTGTTCTCTCTGCTCCACCAGCTGCTCCACCTCCTCTCTGTAGTCCAGGTCGTTGTCGTCTCTGATGAGGCCCACCACCGTGGTGTCGTCTGCAAACTTCACCATGTGATCAGTGGTGAACCTGGGGACGCAGTCGTGCGTCATCAGGGTGAACGGTTCCAGTTTGCCCATCAGATGCTGTGGGTGTTCTTCTCCTCCAGGTTTGCCAGGCTCAGGTGGAGAGCAGCAGAGATGGCGTCCTCAGTGGAGCGGTTCCGTCGGTAGGCGAACTGGAACGGGTGGAATGTTGGCGGCAGACTGGAGACGATGTGTTCTTTAACCAGCCTTTGGAAGCACTTCATCATGATGGGAGTCAGAGCGACAGGCCGCTAATCATTGAGGGAGGCGACCTGAGGCTTCTTTGGGACTGGAATAATGGAGGCAGACTGGACTAGTCTGTGATCATCTGAATGCCTTTCCACATCCTCCTGGTGTTGCTGTCGTCGTGGAAACGATCCTGGATCTTCTGGCTGTGGTTCTGCTGATCTGATGGAACGGTTCCAGTTGGGTCTCTGTCTCCTGACCTGAAAGCTGAGTTCTGAGCTTTTAGCTTTTAGAGCTCTTTAAACAGACCCGGTCCTTATGGAAAGTTCTGGGTCTGTGGTGGAACCAGAGCCGGGAGAGAACCTGGTGAACGCGCGTGAAAATCTACTCAGACGAGGGAAAGTTTCCTTGAAAACATGAAGGGAACCACGACTTCCTGCTGGGTTCCTTTATGCTACTGGTGGTTCTCCTTAGAACCTCTGAGACCAGAACCAGAACATCTGCTTTAGAACCAGCTGGGCCGGTTCTGAAGGCCGCTCTGGGAAGGTCAGTTTCCAGCTTTTTGTTTCCTCATCATCACAGAATGTCCAGCAGGTCAAAGGTCACAGGTGTGGAGCAGAAGGTGGTTGTCTTTACGCCGCCTCCATGCAGCGTAGCGTAGCTTTAGCTTTTAGTTCAGTGTCTCATAAACTCTAGGCTCATATTTCCCCTCTGAGCTCAGGA